ATCACTCTACAGACCAGTTAGACACAAATAAACAGAAGAATGTTCAGCTTCCGTGAAGCTGAAAAAGACGTAAACTTATTTTTTGCTAAGATTAGACTCTTACATGAGTAAGAGTCTTACATGAGACAATTTCAACCGAAAATAAAACGGTTGTCTGGAATTTCTGTAGTGATTTCTTTCTCCCCCCTCAACCCTTTGCTTTATTTTGTTGCTGTAGCCGTAGGGCATCCCTTACTGCCCTGTTTTGGACCCTGCAGCATCACAGGTTGTTTCCGATTATTCACAGAAGCAGCAAGACAGTGAGGCTGGGCTTGTATGTGGGGAAGCAGGATGGGGGCTGTAGGCAAGGCTGATGGATCCTTTGGTGTTGTGGTGGTCTTTCTGATTAAATGTGAAGCCAAAGCCAGAACTTGCACCCTTTTGTTCCAGGATTTGGGACACAGCCTCGACTAATCCCTGAGAGAAAGGGAGTGGACTCTGAACAGCAAAGAGTGGGCTGTCCCTGGTCCGGAAATCTCACAGAATCTTTGCTCTTCTTACAAGACATGAGTCCTCTCCAGCTCAACATCTTGCAACCAGTAACCTTTTTTCAAGTGATTTTTGCATCAGCAGCTTTGGGGCTCAAAATTCTTTGTGGTCCTGCACCGGGTTTTGTCCCTGCTGGGGAGATTCCAGCTGTCACAGGGCATTTAGATCGGTGTTGGGCCCTGCCCCAAGTAGAGCTGGATTAGGAAATTTTGGGAGGTGACTCAGCACACAGCTTGGAGGTGCTCAGACCCTCTTGCCCAGAACATCCTGCCTACCTAAAAGCTTCCTCATCCTGGGTGATGAGTTTAGAGTAGTCAGACACTTCTAAGGGGTTTGAATTTGTGTTACACATTGCTGAGTGGGGAAAAAAAACTATTCAGGATATGGCTTTTTCCTTTTTTTCTCAAGAGTAGGAGATATATCTGGGCACCCAGAGGTCTGCGTGGGAAGCAGCACACCTCCAGCTCACAGCTAGTTAAATCCTGCGAGGCACAGCAGTACCAGCTCATCCTGCTGCACGTTTTGATGGATTTGTCGAGATACCTGCTAGTGAAGTTGGACAAACCGCACAGCTGATTCAAAGCAGTGAGGTGATTCATTGTCCCACAGAAATTAATTCCTCAAAGTCTTTCTCTTGCACTGACTCACGTGGCAGAAAGCGTATGTGGGTTAGGAGCACCACTGGATTCCCAGAGCAGCGCAGCCCGGAGGTCACCGTTTTGTCCTTGCAAAGGATCTGTAAAAAAATACATTTTGATCTGGCTCAGTGCTAAAATATTCCACCTTGGGGAATCAAGATAACCTCTTGGCATCTGTCAGCCTGTTCCCTGCTGTGTCGTGACTAGGCTGCCGGGTCAGCTTCTGCTTCATTTTAACACCAGAGGAGGAAAATGCTATTTTGGTGTTTGTCCTGTATTGCCCGTCATCTTGGGAATGTGCATGGATTCCTTTGTTTCCTCTGGCTACCTGAAATGGTGCTTCAAACTGGCCCTCCCTGGGTGGTGAGTTTGCTCAAAACTTTTGTCCCCAAGGCTGGAGTTGAAGAAACAAGAGGTGAAGGAGCAGGGTCCCTCTGCTAGGAGCAGTTTCTGGCCCAGTAATGGAGAGGTGACACGTGCCAAAGAGCACCAGGGCGTTTGGCCTGGTAAAACAACAGCCCTGAAACTCACGGCATCGCACAGGGATGCACACAATCTGTGTCCTGTCCTGGCGTAGGGCAGAGAGGGGCCAAGAAACAGCTTCTGCATTTCCACAGCAGGATTTCTCAATGGCTGTTTATGCCAGCAGGGCCACTGCTATTCAGATCACCTGGATTTTTTTCCACGTTACAAGCCCCACTGCCAAGGTGTGGGTACCTCTCACTGACGCAGAGCCCACCCAGGGCTGTGCAAACAGGTTTGCAATTTTTTTGTTGTTGTTGCTTTGCTTTCTTTTACTCCTTGCACTCCTTTACACCAGGGACCGCCTGAAGGTTTGAAAGACAGGGAGAGATGGCAGTACTGGCTAGTGATGGAGTAAGCAGCTGAAAACTTGGCTTCCCTCCACTTTTCTACTGTAAACACTATTTACTTCTTGGTGCTGCAAGACTGATTGAGAAGTTGAAACAAGTGGCTTTCCAAACTATCGCAGCAATACAGAGATGCAATGCAAACGTGGCCTGTGTGGCCTGATCCATGGGTTTGGTTCGCGACTTGAGTAATAAAGTTGCCTGTCTGTGTTTGGAAAGCCGTGCAATAACGTGTCACATTTCTAGCTCCCTGCCCCTGCTGCTGGCATAGGGCAGGAGAACTTGAGCCCGAGGCTTGAAGCGCAGGGAATAATGTTGCTTCTGCAAGTCTGACTCTATTTTTTTGCCCTTGTCCTGCAGCTGGGCATCGAAGTTTTCTGTAATCTCAAGAGCTTCCTCTGCAGGGCTCAGCAGTGGGTTTCCAGTGCCACATCACTCCTGCACCCGATAAACAGCACAGAGCAGCTTCTGGAGCTGACTCTTCTCATTGCAGTAAATTCTTAAGGGTTCCTTACACTAAAGAGGAGACGTAAAATTATTTCCAGTGCGCTTGCTCTCTTGGCCAGGCTTGGGGTATATTTATTCCTCCCTTCTGGAGTCTTCAGGTTTTCTTTGCTCTTTTTCTTTTGC